GCTTATTCCACTGAGCCATCCCCCTGGCCCCTAAGAGTCTTTGTAGATGTAATTAAGTTAAGGATTTTTTTTATTTTATTTTATTTTTTTTTGATCACTTGACTTTTATTCATGAGAGAAAGTACTGAAGATTCTTATGTTCATGATGACAGCAGATAGTAGGTAGCCATGTTATCAAGTGTCAGTATTACTTGGAACTCTTTCACATTGCTTGTTAACTCTCAAGTCTCACAATAATCCCATGGAGTATTTTGTTTGTGTGGGGCTGGGAAGGTTGTTTTAGGGTTTTTTTTGAGAGAGGGTTTTGCTACATAGTTCAGGCTGGTCTTCAACTCAAAGCCATCCTCCTGCCTCAGCCTCCTGCATGGTAGGATTACAGACGTATGCCACTACACCTGGCTTGGAGAGATTATTGTGTGCATTTCATAGAAGTAGCTGAAATGCAGAGAGACTGTTCCAGGATCATATTTAATAATTGGCAGTGGGCCAGATGGCTTGGTGGAATAAGCGCTTCCCTGGCAAGCACAAGGGCCTGAGTTCAATCCCTGGTTCCGCCCCCCCCCAAAAAAAAATAATAATTGGCAGTGCTGTGAACCCAGATAATGCAACTGTAGACTTGCTCATATTCACTGTTCTTCAAAAACATTTTAATCCCATATTTCTTTGCTGTGTATATCTTTCCTGTAGAGAAACTGCTTCATTCTAGAACAACCTCAGGCAATTTATTTAACCTGTTTTAATTTCTTCATTGTATTTGGAGTGATAGTCTTTATGTCTTGGGTCTGTGCAACCGTATCACTGAGTAAGCCTTCTGTGTGTACAGAGTCCTCTCTTGAAAGGTTTGGTGGAGAGGAGAGAGTTAAGGCACCAGGGAGACAGAGACCTAGCAGCTGACAGAGTAGATCGCCCTCACTCTGACCTAGTGACTTTGCTTCAGTCTCATAGACTTGGATCAACTGGGCGATTGAGATAGGCTGATCTGGGCCACTTAGGAATTATTTCTAGGATTCATGATAGGCTTAATGGAGATTGGGTTGTTGGTTCCCCCCAGGCAGTGGGATGTGAAGGTATTAAGAGAAAGGGAGGATTGTTGGGAGGGGCTTCTTTAGATGGCTTGCAAGTTAGCTTCCTCTCTTGGCCCTAAAAATACTTGGCAACTAATCAAGCCCAGGTATTTTCTAGGAGACTGAGTGGCCGGATGGGGCCAAGGACTGTACCTGTTCCTGCCATGAAGGGGGTCCTGATTCCAAGCTGAAGAAGAAGCGGAGAAATTGTAGCCACTGTAGTGGCAGCAAGGTGAGGAATGTGCCTAGGTTGCTGGGACTGAGGGTGTCTAGTCTGAGTGACCTGAGGACGTGGTATTGTCAGTATTGCCTTCTACCACTGGTTCTTACCTTCTTGATTTTCTAAAAAGGTAATACATGTATAGCTAATACACTATGCACATAGGTGTACATATCAGAATAATTTTTTTTCTTTTGCGGAACCTGGGATTGAACTCAGGCCCCTGCGCTTGCCAGGGAAGCACTTATTCCACTGAGCCATCTCCCCGGCCCCTAAAATAATTTTGTGTGTGTGTGGAGGTGCCTCACTATGTAGTTCAGGCTGGCTTTCAACCCACTATATAGCCCAGCGTGGCTTATGTTGATCCTCCCTGCCTCAGCCTCTGGAGTGCTGGAATCAAAGGTTTGCACTGTTATAACCTGTCTGTGAATTTTATTTATTTTTTGTGGTACCAGGGGTTGAAGTCAAGACCCTGCACTTGCCAGGCAGACACGTGTTCTACTGAGCTATCTCCCGGGCCCCTCTGAATTTTAAAAGATATAAAATAGATTTTTGCTTTGTTAAAGACAATCATGAGCCAGTGATGTAGCTCAGCAGCACAGTCTGCTTGACAAGCCTATGGTTTTGAGTTTGACTGCCAGTACAAAAAAAAAAAGTATAAAGAGAATCCTATGAGTACAGCTTTTGGAATTAGAGGGGTAGTTTATTTTAAGTGAAATGTCAAGAAAAATACTCTGAAGGTAATTCAGGTTCTCTAGAATGCAGTTGTTTTGCAGCAGAACTGCAGTCTTAGGAGTAGTGGGGTCTCCTGCTCTGGGCCATTTAGAATTCTTGGAGCCTGCACAGAACATGGCCTCTGGGACATAGGCCAAGACAGGACCTTGACACAGAGAGTGCTCCCTACCTGCAGGTCTGTGACAGCAAACCCTACAAGCACAAGGAGCCACAGGAGTCTGTTAGCAGCAGCCCCCACGGAGAGGCCAGTCCTGTGCGTGGTGCAAAGGAACCAGGGCAGGGCAAGGAGCTGGTGGAAGAGGAGGCCCTGGAGGAACGCGAGAGCACGGAGGCTCTGCAGAGCAGGACTGGCAGGGCCACCCGGAAGGGGGAGGTGCCAGCTCAAGGTGAGTGGCCACCTTCTCCCTAGAGTGCTCAGCCTGGCTTGCAGAGCAGCCTTTGAGGGATGGAGGAGGTGTGTCTTTCACTGATGGGACAATGGAAACTGTTGTATTCAGCTAGTAGTTTTTCTCCAGTGACTCTACCTATCTCATAGAATTAAGGGCAGCAGTTTTCAGTCTAACTGATCCTATCCACACCCTTAGATCCTTATTTTCCTCCTATGCAGGATCAACAGTGCAGAGCATGTTGCTGTCCTCTCAAGAAGTGCCTCTTACTGAACGGCTCCCAGAAGGCATACCACATCCCAAACCAGAGCCTCCTCTGCACCCTCCAGCTGCAGCTGTGCTACTCACGAGAGGCCAGGCTGGGCCTGAGGCGCTCTCCACTGATGCATCCCCTGGACATGAAAAGGGGGCTGGCTGCAAGGCTGTGGGTGACTCAGAGGCCTCTTTGCTGGCCTGGGATGGCTCTCAGCCTGAGACATTGCCTGGTACTGTGGAGCCCTCTGCTCCCTTAAGTCCTGCTTCCTTAGGGACCAGCATTATTGCGGGGAGACATGTGACTGGGAAACCAGATGCTCAAGACACCTGGCTCTCTTTGAGCAGCACAGGGGCAAGGAGAGCTAATAGGTCGCCCCCTGGCCATCAACCATCCCTGGGAAGTGACCCCTCTGAGGTAGCTCCTGAAGTCCTCAGAGGGAGTTTGGCTAAGGATGGTGGACTGCAGGTCAGGGGTGCAGAAGGAGAACAGCAGCCAAAGGCCACAGAAGCTACAGTGTGTGCAAACAATAGCAAGGTCAGCTCCACTGGAGAGAAGGTCGTCCTGTGGACCAGGTGGGTCAGGCTGCAGAATGTGTGTAGAAAGCGTACGGTCACACCTGTGTGGCTCAGAGGGGCTAATCATGACATGTGGGTTACAGGGAAGCAGACCGCGTGATCCTCACTATGTGTCAGGAACAAGGAGCACAGCCGCAGACCTTCAGCAGCATCTCTCAGCAGCTGGGAAACAAGACCCCAGCTGAGGTGAGTAGTGGGCAGGGAAGTGCTTAGTGCTGAGGATGCCCACCTGGACTCCAAGGGTCAAGAGTGCCAAGATGCCTAGAGCAACGACCGTGGCTAGTGAGACAGCTACAAGGTGCCAACAAGTTCAGGATACTGACTTGATAAAGGGTATAGTAGCTGTAGGAGAAAGGATGTTAGTAAGGCTGGCAAGATAGCAGGTTGCGCCTGCTTAGGTGAGCACAGGGACCGGGGTTCAATCCCTGGGCCATAGTACTACTAGTTCAGGACAGTGAACCAGCCTTTCTCCTGTTAGGTTTCTCACCGCTTCCGAGAACTTATGAAGCTTTTTCACACGGCCTGTGAGGCCAGCTCTGAGGATGAAGATGATGCCACCAGTACCAGCAATACAGACCAGCTGTCAGACCATGGGGACCTGCTGTCTGAGGAGGAGCTGGACGAGTGAGACTGGGCATGTGGGTGTCACTTGCTCAGGACTAGTTCCATAGTCAGCCTACCCTGGGGACAGGGTGGCTGTCTCTATCCAGTCCTCAAGCTCTGCACACAGGATTGTAGAGTGGAACTGAGGACATGGACAACTGACAATGAGGTGGGCGTGTGCCTCAGGGCAGACCTTGTGAAGACATTCCATTCCACTGTGTACATTGTACATAACACTGCGCGAGTGGGGCTGTACTCCCTGCTCTCCCTCCTTTTTGTCAAACGGTACATATTTATTGTCCTGTGGTCCACACAGTGTCTCTACCTGTAATAAACACCTGTGCCATGTAGCCAGTCCTAAACACTGAGCTCCTCTGCTAGAGGACACAGGGCTCTTTGGCCAACAGTTTTTATTGCAAGTGTAGTCCCCACCCCAGGAGTTTCAGTCTGTGAGGCTGTCACTCTCCCGGTAGCACTGGGCCAGGCTGTGGAGTTCCTGCAACAGTTCTTCTACATCATCCTGTTCCACTCCAGCATCCAGGAAGCTGGCCCAGCGCCGTAGGTCGAGTTGTGTGAGCTCCTTGGCCAAGCTTCTCAGGGTCTGGTGCAAGGATGAAGAGGAACGTAGGGCCCCAAACACGGGGATGCTCTGCACAGCTGTGGAGAAGAGACACGGGAGGCCAAGTGGGTGCTTGGTCGGCTTGACTGTGAAGTCCACTTGGTGAATCTGTGCATTCCCTTTAGTGTACTCCAGAGGAAGGGCTCAGGAGTCATGGGATGAATAAAGTAATGTTTTTAACTGTGAACTCATAACTTTTAATCCAGGAAGAGTCCATAAAACCCTTCCTCATGCTTGAAATCTTGGTTCTCTTCACCTTGTACATACCTGTATCTCTGAGAGGACAGCCAGGGATCACACCCTGCTGGTGGAAGCTTGAGAAGAAGTACGGGTAAGGAGGAACTACTCTGCAGGGTGCCAGCAGCAGATGGGAAGAACTGTGGGGCCGAGAATGGCAGTTAAGCAGGGAAGATGGCAAGGGAGCTTGGGGTCTGGGAGAATGGTGGGAGCAAGTGTGGTACTGACCTTATTACTCTAGGCTGCTGCTGTTGTAAATACTGGGCCAAGACTTCTTCGCCAGTGAGGCACGCATGGAGTGGGGAGGGCAGAGGGGTCCCTGGGGGAAGCTGACTGCAGAGCAAATCCAAAAACCAACTTTACTCCTGTAGCCTGAATAAGAGCTAAGAATTTTTTTTTCTCGTCTTTTTCAGGTGGGGGTTTGCTATACAGTTCAGGCTGGCCTTGAACTCACAATGATCCTTCTGCCTCAAGTCTCCTGAGTGCTGGTATTTTAGGGGTTTGGCCTCCATACCAGTTGAATTCTTAAAATTTTTTTATTTTTTGGCAGAAGCAGGGATTGAACTCAAGCCCTTGCACTCGCCAAGCAAGCGCTTATTCTGCTGAGCTATCTCCCTGGCCCTTAAATTCTTGTAAGAGCCACCCACCCAACTTTTTTTTAAGTGAAGGTGGTATTGGTGAAAGGTCATTAGGTCCTTGGAAAGCCTCAATAGACAGAGGAAAAAAAAGGTGGGGACAAGGACCGAGAATTTTACCTGGTGTGACTTGCTTTGTCTACACCCCTCAGCACCACTGACTGGGCAAAGCAGCATTTTCCGGAAGGGTCCCCACATGCAGATAGTGGGGTCCATGGGGTACTTCTTCCAAGCTGCACCAGGGTATCAGGAAGGGATTGGCCTGGAACCCAGGGGAAGGGGATGATTGCTTCAGCTGTCACCACCTGAAGATCACAAGGAGATCAGGTTAGAGCTTTTCCTCAGTGTTGATCTCACGCCTCCCAAAGCCTCATACCTTCTTCCCAGAGAAGCTCAGCATATCTGCCAGCCGAACCATGGACACTGGAGAGGAACGGAGGCGGTAAGGAACAGTGACTGTGTCCAGGGCTGTGGCCAAGATGGCACTGCAGTGAAAGGGCAGGGCAGCCTGTAAAGACATGAGCACACTCAGGCTTTCATGTCTAGAAAATGATGTAGGGAAGTAGAATAGTAATGGCAGACAGGTCTGAAAGGTGAGGTGAGGCCATGTTTGGCCAAAAGTTGCACGAGGTCCAGGAGGCCTTATAGTTGAGTTCAAACTAAGGAGCTTTAAGAACAGCCACCAACTAGGGCTGAGTTGGCGGGGGGTGCACTCTGTGGCCAGCTGCAATCAAAGTACTGAGCCTTACGTCATAGTCCAGGTAAGGGAAGTTCACGGGTGGTTGAGGTCGCAGACCCAGACTTCCATTCAGTGATAAGGGGCAGACGAAAGAGCTGGATGCCGTCAGGTGCACCAGACCAAATGCTGTGTTTAATAGACGATAGATATTCTTCTGTGGTTCCTGGTAAAAGGATGTTCATATCCAGCAACTTTTCCTGTAGTAGTCTCATTTCTCCCTCTCCATTCTGGATTCTTTTTTCCTCTGAGTTCTACTTACCCCAAGATTATGGAGGCCTGGCAGCAGGCCCCATGTTATTACTCCCCGTCCTGAATACTCATCTTGCAGCAGCTCAGCAGCCTTGGTGCCTACCCCAGAGAAGCCATCGTGCAGGTCACACAGGATCTGGAAACCCTGAAGGGAGGAAGGATAATCAATGGGAGGGGTCAGGCATAATGTCACACACCTGTAATCCCAGCATTTGGGAGGTTGAAACCCTATTTAAAAAAACAATTTGTGTGTGTGTGTGTGTGTGTGTGTGTGTAACCAGGGATTGAACTCAGGCCCTTGCGCTTGCCAGGGAAGCGCTTATTCTCCTGAGCCATCTTCCCAGCCCCAAGACAAAAATAATTTAAAAAATAAAAAGGATGAGCATTCTGCCTTGTGCACGTTTTGCTATACAGCTACCTGTAAGTAGTCACATTCTTCCACATAGAAGTGCAGCCTGTCCTCCAGCTCCTCCAGGTACCTGGGTTCCTTCAGGATGCTCTCTCCTTGGCCGAAAGCCTCCAGCCGACCTGTCTCCCTGCCACAGAAGAAGATAGTCCAAGACAGGCCTTTCAACTCCACCCAACCCCAACTTCTCCATCTCTTGGGAGAAGATGCCATAAGAGCAGTCTGTGGGGCCCTCCACTCTGCCTCCCGGCCTCAGGTCTCCATACCCATCATTCTCCATACCCATCATGGTTGTATTTCTGAATCAGACAGATGCTCCGGGGATGGAGATGAACTCTGAGGAAGTCTGACCAGACTTTGATGCTGCCCACTGTGGGGAAAAGTGGCTTTGGATTTGAAACACTGGTGACCAGTGGGGGACCTGAACATAAAGCAGAAGGGGGACAGGAAGATAGCTCAGCGGTCTAAAGCGCCTGCTTAGGCATGCGCAGGGGACCCTAGTTGATTCCCAGCACCACATGCTGCACCAGCCCTGCCCTCAGGGCTGGCAGAGCAGGCAAAAAAATAAAAATAACAAAGCAGAAGGGATACACCTTTGTCCTACCCAGGTTCCCATCCATAGTTCCCAGGTCTCCAGATTGGAGAAGTCTCACCTTTGCCATTAGGGATTGATTTGATCCTCCAGACACCATCACTAAGCACTCCCTGCAAGGAGTGAAAAAATCTGGAGTTTCAGGCCATACCTTACAAACTCCTGCCTCTTTTTCTTCCTTCCTTCTTTTCTCTGAGACAGAATACTGTTATGTAATTCAGGCTAGCCTTAAACTCATGGTGGTCCTCCTGCCTCAGCCCCTCAAGTACTGGGGTTATAGGATAGTACCACCACACATAGCTGCAGCCTTCTTTCTGTTTAGGTCATTACAGTCCTTGGGACCAAAATGCTCTTTCCCGAAATACTTTAGGATTATCCTCTTCGTTTGCCCCAGTAGAGGCAACCTGAGTTTTAGCCAAGGGTTAAAGGGCTCAGGGTAGAGGCCCTCACCTCTGCACTCTGAAAGTCCTGGAAATAAGGATTCTTTGGGTAGATCTTCTCCTCTTTGTGTGTGGTGAGCTTGCCCTGCCTGAAAAAGATCAATTAAAGAAACTATGATAAGATATCTGGCTTTCTGTCCTCTGCCCACCCCATGCGTCAAATACACACCACGCTATGGCAGCATCCAGCAGTCTGTCCCGGTAGAGGTCTCCTTCCTCTTTTAGGGAGCTCAGACTGCCTGTAAAGGAATAAAGGAGAATGCAACGTCAATCATAAGGCATCCTCTACCGTCCTCTCGGGCTAGTCTTCCTCTGATGCACCAGCAGCCTGCAGTCATAGTCCCTCTAGCAGCGGGCACTGCCAAACTTTATTGGAGATACATGGGAGGAGGGTAAGAATATAATTGCATCCTTGCTGCCGGAGCTCGGTCACACCCAGAGGCCCTAGCGGGCGTGGCAGTTCTGCACCTTCCTGTCTCTCTCCCTACTCCAGAGAGGTTCTTGAGCAGAAAGGTCTAGCTCCCGCACCTCTCCGCAGTTACCATTCCTCTCTTCATCGCTCGGACCAGTACAGTTAGAAGCTCCTGAGGCAAAAAGGATGCTACAGACTGCTACGCTCACCCTTCAGGTCCATGAGGATAAGTCGAGGCGTGTAGGTTTCCTGGCCATACAGTGTACGGCCTCTTCGGTACAGGACGTCGGGACACAACTCTCCGGACGGCTCCGTGGCATCGGTGGCCCTGCCCAACGCAGCATCCTGGGGAAGTAAACAAGGGAAATTGGATTCGGGTGCGATGGGGCAGGGCGACGATGGGACTGAAGATACCGAACGACTGCGTAGGGACAGCTCCCGGGAGCCCTCACCTGCTGGTTCCACCAGTGTGCTCCCACGAAACCCGCAAAGTGCCCCAACTGCAGCGTGAGCACCTCCCGAGCCCCGCCCGCCATGCCGCGCACCCTACTCGGTGGAACCGCCCCCGCACGTCCGCTCGCTCGTCACTCCTAGCTAATTTGTGCGCTAGGCTTGTAGGCGGGCCACGTTCTCTGTACCCTATTGGTCCACAGACACATCCTTTCCGATTGGGTAAACGGTTCGCAGGCCCGTCCCGCTCCACCTCTTCCTCGCGAGGGGCGGTGCTCCGCCGGCCGTTTCGGAAGTCGTGCGAGCCGCCCGGATCTGGGGTGGGGCTTCGTCGGGTAGGTGGCTGTGCGCTCTCGCGTGGGGGTAGTTTTGGACCTACTTTTGGCGGCGCAGGCTTTTCTCAGTAACACTGCTGCCTGCGAATTACACGAAGAGCAAAATCAGGGCCGGGAGATAGCTCAGTGGTTTAAGCGCCGCCTCAGTTCGATCCAGGTAGCAATAAAAAAAAAAAAAAAAGAAAGAAAGAAAGGAAAAAAAAAAAA